TCTAGATGAACTGCTTTACAGGCCTCTTTCCTCCATTGTTTCTTGAATGCCTCTCGCCATCGAGCTTTGAATACGCGGAATTGCCCACTGGATATTGCTGTCATTCGATGGACAGCATCGGGAAGAACTCGAGACGTTAAAACCCACACTACCAGGTCAACTCGGGGCCGATTGAACCGATGGAGATAGTCGTGCTTCAGTGTCCGCCAATGAGACTCCACGATCATTGTTGTTTTCACCGTTGGAATCTCAGCTGGATCAGTGGCCCGTGCCCACAGCTTCCACTGGTCCGGGCAGTACCAGTTGACATACAGATAAGCCCAAAGACGGTAATAACCCCGGGCCTTACACCATGTATACATCTCGGCCGCGCATTCACGATGCAAAGTCGTCGAAGACTTGTATGTCCCGTTCGAATCAGGAATGAGGGGATGGAGGTTAAAATGTCGGCAGAAAATCTCCAGCACCGTGTCACGGTCCTCCTTGGTTGCGGGCTCCAGTCTCCCCAGTACGTCGATTTTCTCACCCTTTGACGGGCATGAGCAACCGCCAAATCTATGCCCCCCCCCGCCAAATCTATGGCTCACCGGCCGGCGGATTGGCAACGAGCCCCAGCAGATCTCCAAATCAGGGATCAGCTTTTGGGCTTCCTCAGGCCAGTAGTGATTTTGCGTGTTGGTGTTTTTGGACGAATTGAGCTTCGTGCTTACTGCCCGTTTGACATGCCAGTAGCAAAGCTGAACATTCACCCCAGGCCACACTGCCGTGACCGCGGCAATTTCGGATGGGTCCTTGTCAATCGCAACGCACTTCGGGTTAAACCCAAAATTTTTCAGCCGCTCAAGAAATTGTTGAATAATATATGTAGTTGCCCCAGGATTCGCACGAACGGGTTTATTCTCTGCCGGATTGGCCTGGGGAGGCTTCAGCAGCTCGACCAGACAATATGCAAGTGGTACACCAGTACCTCCGTCTTCAGCCAACACTGCAAATAGGTCCATCCCACCGCTG